AGTAGACTCAGAGGTACTTGTGGAGGCTGTACCTCAAAAGGGAAACCATAAACTAGTTGACTTGAATGATGCTACCTAAACCGAAAACTATGTCTGTGTAGACAGTACCCTGGCAGTGACTGCATTGATTTCAAACATATACATTTATAGCCATATTATCATTCAAGTTGCAAGCTAGGGTTGAAGAGCCCATGCTAACTCTTGGTCATTGATAGTTATCTAGTTCAATGTATTATTGTGATGAATTCCTTATCTTACTTACACTGATTAAAAAAAAGACTTTCCAGCAAAATATAACTGGCCCAAACATTTGCGGTTCTTGTGCACCCTCCTACCAGGTCCTGATTTTAGATCAGTGATTCTGCAGGCCTTTAAGTGGAAAAGTTTATATCCAGCCCTTTTGAGGCCAGCAGCATCAGAAGAAACAGTAAAAGGAACTCTTAATTCTCTCAAAAGGACAAAATGCACATGGTGAAACAAGATGTACCAGCAACTGATTGGCTTTTGCACTTTCCAACTGAGAATCCATTTGGGGATCATGACCTGGATCCTAAAGAAAAAGTCTGGGCCAAAGTTCATTTTTGGAAGTAGCTGGCACTTTATCACCCCTTTGCCCTGCTGTTACAAAACCAGTAAGCTGCATCAGAATCTTTAGAAGGTAGATGCCCCAGATGTACCATAAGTCATAGAGCCACCTGCCATTGCTTTGTAAATGGGAGGGGGGCTATACCAAATCTCTTCAAGTTACCAACAATTGAAGGTGCCACATATTGCAGCACTTATTCCAAGATACATCTACTGCAAAGTTTTGGTCTACATAAAATTTACCCATCCCTACTTCTTAACCACTTCGAACAACTTTTCTCCCAACTCACACCACCAGCCTCATGGGCATCTTCAGTCTTTGATACACAGGGATCAATTTTAACTTTATTTCAGTGGATAGCTTCTGAATGAATTAAAATTTCATCTATACATTCTCCTAATTCACAGTCCAGTCTGCTGAGCAGAAAGCCAACTTGTGCAATAACAAGAGAGCACATGATTATTGTATTGCACTTGTTCTTTCATCTCAAATGGAGAAATGAAGGTGCTCCAAATCTCAAATAGCTACACAAATCATTGTTTTCAATTTCTCTGAAAGGTGTGAGTTTCTTTTCTGCCAGTGGCTATGGATTGAATTATGAGTAAACAGGAACCTGAAACATGGGGTAGGTTTGTAGGCTATGTCTTACTGAAGGAGTAGGCACATTTGAATTGGAGTAGGAAGGCAGCTAGAAGGTGAAGTTTAGACTTTAGAGATTTTTTTATTCATCCATGGAATGAGGGCATTGCTGGCTGGACCAGATATAGGTAAAAACAATAAATAGGGTGAGTTCAAGACACTGAAGGAATGGCTATATATTTCCAAATCTGGATGGTGAGAGCCTTGGATGGGCACTTGTAGGTGGCAGTTTTCACATGTATCTGCTACCTTTGTTTGTACGGATGGAAATTATCATGGAAGCTGCCATCTAAGGAGCCTTGGTGAATTTCTGTAGTGCATCTTGTAAATAGTAGTAGCAGCAGCAGCAGCGTGTCCCAAGTGTTGGTCGTGGAGAAAGTGAACATTTGTGGAATGGGTGCCAATCAAACAGGCTGCTATGTCCTGGATAGTGTGAAGTCTCTTGAGTGTTTTTAGAGCAGCCATCATCTAGTCAAGTGGCAAGTATTCCATCTCATACCTTACTTGTGCCTCAGATAGTGGACAAACATGGCGGACAAGTCAGGTGGTGGGTTAATCGCTGCAAGATTCCTGGCCTCTGACCTTCTCTTGTAATCACATTATTTATAACACAGTGGCTCAGTGGTTAGCACTGCTGCCTCACAGCGCCAGGGACCCGGGTTCGATTCGAGCCTCAGGCAACTGTCTGTGTGGAGTTTGCACATTCTCCCCATGTCTGCATGGGTTTTCTCCGGGTGCTCCAGTTTCCTCCCACAGTCCAAAGATGTGCACGTTAGGTGAATTGGCCATGCTAAATTTCCCATAGGGATGTGTAGATTAGGTGGATTATAGGGGGATGGTTCTGGGTGGGATGCTCTGAGGGTCGGTGTGGACTTGTTGGCCCATAGGCCATAGGGATTCTATGATTCTATGATATGGCTAATCCAGTTCAATTCCTAGTCATTGGTAATCCTCAGGATGTTGTTAGTAGGAATTCAGCAATGATAATGCCATTGAATGTCAAAGGGTAATGGTTATATTATCTCTTGTTGGAGTTGGCTGTTGTGCGGCATGAATGTTACTTGCCTCTTGTCAGCCAAAACCTGGATATTGTCCAGGTCTTGCTATATTTAGACATGGACTGTTTCAGTATTTGACGAGTGGATAATCGTGCTGGATATTGTGAAATCATCAGCAAACATCCCCACTTCTGACCTTATGACAGAGGGAAGGTCATTGATGAAGCAGTTGAAGATGAGTGGGTCTAGGCTCTACCCTGATAAACTCCTGCAGAGATGTTCTGGAACTGAAATGACTGTCCTCCTACAATCACAATCATCTCCCTCCCCATCTACCTGTGCTAGGTATGACTCCAACCAGCAGAGTTTTTCCTGAATTCCTGTTGACTATAATTTTGCTAGGGCTCCTTGATGCCATACTCAGCCAAATGCAGCCTCGACATCAAGGGCAGTCACTCTCACTTCACCTCTCGAATTCAGCTGTTTTGTCAGTGCTTGGACCAAGACTGAGGTCAGGAGCTGAGTCTATCTAGACCAAAAGAATTTAGCTCATTGCCACCTACACAGGGACACAAGGGATGGGCAATGAATCATGCTCATATCCCATGAATAAATAATAAAAATAATTACTCTAAGAACTAAACTTTACCCTTCAGCTGCCCACCTACTCCAATTAAAAATCTGCTTACTTCCTGCAGTACTAGACTTGGTGCCTGGTAGTCATGTGAGGAATAATGCATTAGTCATCAAATGACTCAACACAAAGTCAAAATTTCCCTTTCGTACTACGGGTTGCTAGGCCTATTTCCATATGTCAGTAAGTCAGAATCTAGAATGAATGAATTTAATAACGTGGTTAAAAGCTCAAAGACAGAGGTCAGAATAGTTTTGCAATGCAAGGTTGCTATGGCATATGTCAATATTTTTTAAAGGGTAAATAAATATTTGAAAATTAAGTTTTTAGATGAGAAACTAAATGGGTAGTTCTTTTTAAGCAATTTAACAAGTGCGTATCTGTAAATGTACATGGGGTAAGAAGTATCATGTTCAATGAAATAAAATACAAGGCAGAAGATAAATGGATCAGGGCACACAGAGTAAGACAGTATGTCAATTCTAAACTAGAGGGTTTTTTTAATGGGCAGTGGAAGGGGAGCTGTGGGAGGTCAGTAAGTGAAATGGGGAACTCATTCACTTGCTCAATTCCAGGTCCAAGATATTTATACCCCTAGACCCAACTTAAATGGGAAAAAAAAATACTTTCCAACAAGGACTAATGGAAAGCAAAGTTTTCTTTGTGTACCTGGAGATACTGAATCCACATGGAGATTTTTATGTATCAGAAGAACTTCTCTATTTAAACAAAGCTGTAGATCTCCTTCTGTTGTAATGGTTTCCCCTCTCAGATCTAGGCTAAAATTTTACAAGGGTTCTACTGTCATAAAAGTACACTTATTTACATGAATTGAAGAAACTTGTTGCTTTCGGCCTCCCAGTGGCAAATATCTACCCTTTAATCTTGTGTCTACAACACCATCTATTGGAGCAATACCTTCAGTATCCTGACATACTGTTTATTAGACTTTTTAAGGCTTATTGATTTTATTATTCATTCTGAATTAATTACAAAATTTGAATCATTCACCTATTTGGTATTAATATGACTAATTAAATAATATAGCTTTTATCCATTAGTACTTATTGAGGTGTGTAATTCAGACTGGTATTCGCTAAGTACATGATGACCAATGCACTATTCCTCACATAGCTACCAGAAACAAAGCCCAATTCTTCAGTTGATTATTCTAAGAACTAGAGTTCACCTTCTGGCTGTCCTCCTACTCCAATTCAAATCCACCTACTCCCTCAGCCTGCAATTAATCTGCTAACTCAAATCATGTTTCAGTTCCTTATTCAGTCACAATTCAATTCATTGACCTTGGCACAAAAGAAATACACTCCATAGTAACCTCCTTTCCCAGAAATTATAAACGTTACTTTCTAAACTTATCTGTAGTTTAGAGCACCTTCAGTTCTCCAGCAGGTGAGAGGAGAAGTGCTATGCATGTCAATAAACAGAATGACTGTCCAATATAACGACAGGAGGAAAATGTATGAGAAACAGAAAGTAAGAAGTTAAACAAAGAAGGAGCAGACAAGAGGATACTTACAGAAAGAGAGAGTGAACAGAGTCTTAAAGCTTAAAGAGTTTCTTCTGTTGTGCCACTTTAACATTAATGGCATTAAATGGGGCTTCCATTTGTGTGCACAAATGTGCTTTCCACTTCACTTCTGCCAAATTGCAGTGGCAAAGCAGGTGCAGCTCTAAGGAAAGGCAGGAGTTGCAGACTTAGCAACAAAAGTTAAAAACATAAAGAGCTAGAGAAGGTCAGCAAATCTGGTAGCATCTGTCGAGAGAGGAACAGAGTTAATGTCAGACCTGTTGAGTTTCTGCAGCTCTTTGTTTTTATTTCAGATTTCCAGCATCCATAATATTTTGCTTTTACATTTTATGGCAACAAAAGATACTTTCAGGGACAGCTGGAGAAGTCCAGAATATGGTTTAGAGGTGAAAAGTTCAGTTGTGTAAGTAATGACAGACAGACATAAGTAAACTGCATGGTTGCTGTGTTATAATTTCGAAATTTCTAATCGGAAAATGAGGTAATAGAGAGAAAATTATAATTTTACTTTATGCAGAGGCTGACAGCTTATCCAATAGTTGTAACAAAACATTGATTCCAAGAATACTTAGCTAATCAGTTAGCAATACTCACCTGTGCACAACCTGGAGCATTGCAAACGAATGGCCGGTCTTGCTCCAAATTCATAACTGTCTTTGAATTAATCTGACAACCAAATACACAACAGCAAATAAATGAATGGCATCCGCATTAACATTTTGAATAAGCTAACCTGTATTTAGTAAATAAATGCAGTTACACTTTTTTTTCTCACAATCAAGCTCAATATTTAATTTAATCCCTATTTAATCTAATTTGATTATGTTGAAGGCAAAGAAAGAATTTTAAGAAAAAGCAAACATTTCAATATAAGTAATGAAGGTCACTGTTCAATGGTTGCATTTGTGGTTTTCATTGCCTGGACAAATACTCTTCATTTTCAGACCTTGGAAAAGCCCAAACACTGACCTTTAAAGCCATTTGAAATGCGCATTGTACCCATATATGACTTTGTTTGGGACTTTTGTCTTTCCACACAGATGTTGGATTTGCAGCATATTCAGCAAGCTGTCACTGGGTGTGAAGGCTGACCCTGTCTCTCCAACAAAGCAGCCCAACTCCCACCTTGTTTAAAAGACCTCTAAACTTTACTTGTTTAGCCTTTCAGTTCACCTCCACTCAGCCTTATGCCTCCTCAGATTACCCATGCTACCTATGTCTCCTCAGACCCCACCCATAAGCCTGCCCCTCAAATTGTTTGTGACACCTAAATGTTATGACCATGCCACCCCCCCATCCCCATGTACCCTCCATAGTTACTCACCCAGTATCCACTATAAACTGTCCTCAGGAATTATGCAAAAGGAAATGGGAATTATCTTAAAATCATTGGAAATAAACACTAAATTTCTAACAATCTAACAAAAAACTCTGAATTCATCCAAACATCATTGATACCAGAAACAAAACTTTCTCTGGTGTAAAAAAAGTACACAATCTTTTAAGTGCCTATTACATTTCTAAACAATTAAGAACCACATCAAAGGCATATTGTTACAGCTTCTTAAAAATGTCAGTCATCCTCGGATTAATAAATGACCTGATGGGCTCAAGCCATTTATAGCCTTTGAAACCCAGCTAAGCATTCATAGTGGTCACAGTTTTCTTCACAAAAACTCACAACAACATTCCCTGAAACTGGCAGAACAGAACTGTGTCCACTTGCCATTTCAACGCAGGGTGTTGGTCAATGGAGAGCGGCAGGCAGAAGGATTTATTTTCTCAATTTTCAAAAGCAGTTTTTTCAAAACAAAGGCTGATTGGTCTGTCAATTAAAATCACAGCAAAGGCTGACAGGGCTTTTGTTTTAAACAGATTATGGCCCTGCTTCCAATGGAAAACTACTGCAATGCATGGCACTACTGTCACAACGGTGGCCCAACGCAAGGACACAAGTAGGACAGATCCCTATGATGAATTCCCACATTAGAACACATCTATATTACAAGACAGCATCCAATTATGAGATATGAAAGCATCAGAACATTTTCCACTTACCTTTCAGAGAGTAGTAAGGGCATGGAATGCCCTGCCTGCAAAAATAGTAGACTCGCCCACTTTAAGGGCATTTAAATGGTCATTGGATAAACATATGGATGATAATGGAATAGTTTAGGTTAGATGGGCTTCAGATTGGTTTCACAGGTCGGTGCAACATCGAGGGCCGAAGGGCCTGTACTGCGCTGTAATGTTCTATGTTCTATGTTCTATGTTCTGAGTTCCTCAGCAGGCTTTCCCTAGTAGTCAAAAAATTTCCAAGGAATTTGTTATAGGACTTATACAAACCCACACCAAAACCCAAAAAAAAATGTGTGCTGGAAGAGGTGTAATTTTGCTTTGGTGCTTCCAATGGAGATCTGGTCTCACACTTTGGGGCAGCACAGTGGCTTAGTGGTTGGCACTGCTGCCTCACAGCACCAAGGACCTGGGTTCAATTCCACCCTCAGGCAAGTATCTGTGTGGAGTTTACACATTCACCCTGTGTCTGCATGGGATTCCTCTGGGTGCTCTGGTTTCCTCTCACAGTCCAAAGATATGCAGATTAGGTGGATTGGCCATGCTAAATTGCCCATAATGTCCAGGGATGTGCAGTAGAGATGGATTAGCCAAGGGAAGTGCAGGGTAATGGTGATAGGGTAGGGGATGAGTCTGGGTAGAATTCTCTTTGGAGGGTAGGTGTGGATTCAATGGGCTGAAAGGCCTGCTTCCACACTGTAGAGATTCTATGATTTCTACGAAGACCAAGTGGATCCTTAGTCCAAGGCCTTCCACCCCTCAAAAAAGCCTAATTAAAATGATGTGAGGTTGGGAATATTGAAGAAATTGCTTCTTTCCAGTGAAAAAAGTCAGTTAAAATATTTGCAGCTTGATTTGTATCTCCAATGGGAGAAAAAATCTCACCCTAACAATTAATTGCTGCAACACTCAGTACTCTAAAACTGGTATGAGACTTCATTGTCTGAAATATCAATCCCAGAGATAGATAATAATCATCACCAATCTTGCCTCCAAAATATACATATCCCTTCCTCATGTACTACAAAGCAACAACCAAATATTGAAGTGACAAACTCAATTTATCTTAATTCTGACAAAAAAATCTTTATTCCTCAATCCTTTTTGCATGGGATTCAACTGTGACATTCCCATTGAAAATTCATGTTTAAAATGAATTTTGACCTCTCACCCTGCTACAGTTTGTATGACTCTCCTTTTATCTCCAAAAATTTTAGGCAGCCTCTTTCATAATCATCAGAGTTAACAAAGAAACAAGTATGACCCCACTCCAGAGAATGGGGTGCAAGTGAAATGGTTGACTAAGAAATACATTGACAAGATTTACTCCAGAATTGTCAATCATTTTACTAGACAACTGTAGAAAACTGATTTATTGTAGATTATGAGGTATGAAACTTCCTTTCACTTGAACTGCTAGCTGGATAGGTTACAATTATTTTGAAAAATCACTTCCAAGTTGCTCCAGAAAAAGATAGCAGCGACTTTTTGTAACAACAGCAAGAGACTAACAGTTATACAGTTCAAAGGGATCAAGGGGTAATTTTATAATGTGCATTTCAGAATAGAATTTTGCCCAACACAAGGAAATTTTGCATATTTGGTATGAAAATTACAGCGAGTGCAGGGCATTTCTATTGTGTTCCTAGATTATAATATGACAAAAGTTTGAAACCTGATAACTCCATCACTACTAGTTTTTCTTTCTCATTATTCTTCTTTGTCCACTCCTGCTCTTGATGAGAGTTGACACTGGTGGGTCAGATGTGGGCAATCACTAGCCTAAGGCCTAATCTGGCTTGGTGTGTATATCATGAGGCTGGAATGTGCCTGTGCACCTGGCTTCCCTCAGGCCTTTGAAGCTCCCCGGAAATGCAGTCAAATTATCTGACGCTCATCAGTGTTCGTATAATATTGGCACCCACAAGTAAATTCATCCATCGAGGTTAGGTCCTTTTGGTAAATAAGTCAGTCTGACTGTTAGTTGTTACAAGTTACTGCCCAGAGATTTAAATGTCTACATTATTTGTTTTTAGCTTCATTGCCGAAGCAAGCTGCCTTCCTTACCCCATTCATTTCCTCACTGTTTTTGCCAAGGAAATTCAAGTGGCTATGGTCCCTAGCATTTGTGAGTATCGGGTCAGGTATGTGGCACAATGTTCTTCTTTCAAACTCTGCACTATCAGAGGAGACATGCTAAAAGGCACATTTTTCACATTTTCTTATCAAGATTCAGGTGTTTTATGTCACTTCCAGAGCATCTCATAGAGGGCCTTCAGCCTGTGCGTTTGTGCCTATCCATAGATGTTGGACATGTTCAGAAGATCATGATGTGGATACAGTAGGGCATTTAATCCCTAAAAATGCATAGGCTGGGATTTGGTACAGTGCGAAAACGTAAAATTCTCAAACCCAACCCACCTACTTCCAGGTTTAACAGAGGCAGGTGCAGCCAAATTACTCCAAGATGGCAGGGTGATCATTAAATATTATAATGATTTAGCTTGTTTTATAAAATACTTATAGCCAGCCAAGTTCTCAGGCTTCAGGAAACCTAGAAACAGAAGAGAAGCAGGGACTGCTTCAGGGAAAAGGGCCTTTACAGCATTGTCTGTGGCCCAAGATGAACAAGAGCTTTCTCCTAAGAGCACAAGAAAATCCTCTTGGATTGGTTAGACCCCCACTAAAGAACAACCCTTCACCCCAACCACCCCTTCAAAGGTGGCCTAGGATTTGGAGGTGGGTGGGGTGCAGTTTCAGACATATCCCCGTTGAAGTCAAAAATCAAATTCTCCTATGTTTCCAGTAGGAGAACCTGGCTCTACATGGGACTGTGGCACATTCTGGAGTCTACCCTGTCTGCAGCAGAGCCTTAAAATCAGTTTAGAGTTTGCTGGGAGAGTAGGAAAATCCTGGGGGAAGAAACAAAGGCTATGGAGTTAAAACTCCATAGCAGTGTGGAGATCAGGATTTCTAAAAATCTACCCCACAACTGCACATATGCATCCTTTGCAACCTGCCCCTTTAAGATCAATCTCTATGACATAAAGCTAGGGGAGGCAATGGCCTAGTGGTATTATTGTTGGACTGTTAATCCAGAGACCCAGATAACATACTGGGGACCTGGGTTCAAATCCTGCCACAACAGATGATTGAACTTGAATTCAATAAATACCTGGAATTAAGAGTCTAATGATATCCATAAATCCACTGTTGATTGTTGGAAAAACCCATCTGGTTCATTAATGTCCTTTAGGGAAGGCAACTGCCATCCTTACCTGGTCTGACCCACAGCAAAGTGGTTGACTCTAAACTTCCCTCTAGGCAATTAGGGATGGGCAATAAATGCTGCCTAGCCAGTGATGTCCTCATCCCATGAATGAATAAAGAAAAGAAAACATTCAAAAGAGTGTTCACTATGAAAGCTTAGTCTAATCTTAAGATTTTGGGGTGGCACAGTGGCTCAGTGGTTAGCACTGCTGCCTCACAGCACCAGGCACCCAAGTTTGATTCCACCCTCGGGCGACTGTCTGTGTGGAGTTTGTCCATTCTCTGCGTGGGTTTACTCTGGGTGCTCTGGTTTCCTCCCA